TGTTTTTTAGAGATAGGGTCTGGCTCTTGCTCAGGTGGGTCTCTAACTCCTGAGCTCAAGCAACCCACCCTTCTTGGCTTCCCAGATTTAAAGTCTGAACTTTTAAATTACTGACTTTAGAATCCCTTTTACCGTTATTATTATTATTTTTTTTTTTATTGAGACAGAGTCTCACTTTGTCACCCTTGGTAAAGTGCTGTGGCATCATAGCTCACAGCAACCTCAAACTCTTGGGCTCAAGTGATTCCCTTGCCTCAGCCTCCCTAGTAGGTGAAACTACACGCTCCTGCCATGATGCCCTTTTTTTGTTTGTTTAGCAGGCGCGGCTGGGTTTGAACCCACCAGCCCCGGAGCATGAAGCCGGCACCCTAACCACTGAGCTATGGGCACCCCTCCCTTTTAACCGTTGAAAGAAATGACTGTGGTTTGTATCTTAAAGTATGAGCGCTCCCAAATTTTACATCCAAATGAGTGCCTGTCAAAACAGTTGTTTTGGGCTGGCAGGATGGCTCATGTCTGTAATCCTAGCACTCTGGGATGACTATGTTTTCCATTTTTAGGAGAGATGGGTCTCTAAACTCCTGAGCTCAAGCAGTCCACCAGCTTTGGCCTCCCAGAGTGCTAGGATTACAGACATGAGCCATCCTGCCATGAGCCACTGCGCCTAGTATAACGTAGATTCTTAACAGCAATCTGTTGGATAACTTTGCTAAAAAAAAAAAAGAAATATACAGTAGAACCTCTGTAAGTTGACCACCCAAGGGACTGTAACAAACTGTTCAACATGGGTGGTGCCTGTGGCTCAGTGGGTAGGGCACTGGCCCCATTTACCAAGGGTGGCGGGTTTGAACCCGGCCCTGGCCAAACTGCAACAAAAAAATAGCCGGGTGTTGTGGCAGACACCTGTGGTCCCAGCTACTCGGGAGGCTGAGGCAAGACAATCACCTAAGCCCAGGAGTTAGAGGTTGCTGTGAGCTCTGACACCATAGAACTCTACCGAGGGCGATAAAGTGAGACTCTGTCTCTTAAAAAAAAAAAAGAAAAAAACAAACTGGTCAACATATAGAGTTGGTCAACAAGGAACTAGGCCTACTGTACACATGATCCATGTCCAGTCTATGAAAATTAGGTCATCTTAAGGAGGTGGTCAATGTAGGGAGGTGCTCAACTATGGAGGTTCTACTGTATTAACTTTTGGATTGTTGATCCTGCCTCTTCTCTAGTTGTTGCCCAGAATTTCCCAGTTGTGGTACTTTATTCCTTTTTCTGTGTTAAGCCTATCCCTTGTCTGTTGGTGCACCTATCACAGGTAGCGTAACTATTATTGTCTTTGCAATCTCTTTTAATTTTATCATTCAAGAATGGCCTTGATGTTGTCCTTTGTATGGTTTGTAGGACTATTAACTGAGGTAGAGAATCTTAGAGATTTTTGGAGACAGGTAAGTTCAAAAATATGTAGTATACCTTAAATATATATAATTTTAAAAATACATATATAAAAGAGGCTGGATGTAGTGGCTAAACATTAGCCTAAGCAAGAGAGAGACCCTGTCTCTAAAAAAAATAGCTTACATATCCCTGTTTCTTGGGAGGGCTCTTCTCTTCTGGCCTCAATTCCCAGATGGAACTTTTTTTCTTTATGAAGTCTTTTCTAAGTAGTACAACTAGAGGGAAAAGTGATGCTCATACGATGTGAACATAATCAGGAAACTGTGTGATTAGCCATATAGATAATGTATAGTTTGTTGTGTTTTCTTACAAAATAATAAAAAAGTAAGAAGAAAAATTAGCAGGGCATGGTGACAAGGGCCGGTAGTCTCAGCTACTCAGGAGGCTGAGGCAGGAGGATGGCTTGAGCCCAGGAGTTTGAGGTTGCTGTGAGCTATGATGATGCCACTGCTCTCTAGATATAGGCAACATAGACTCTGTCTCAAAAAAAAAAAAAGAATAATTTTCTGACTATTAAGTTCACGAAGTCATCCTAGAAAAAATGCTGTGTACCTCCATTGCTGAATATCACTATGGTCTCCTTTGAAGTACACCCATCAGGAAGCTATGCACCAATGCCAGTGTCTAGTCTAGCCTTCAAAGCAATTTTGGAACTCATTTTCTGGAATGACCATTACTGCTGTTGTCTTATTACCCTTGATGTCCTGAATGTCATCAAAATGTCTTCCTTTCAATATTTCTTTTATCTTTGGGTAAAGGAAAAAGTCATTTGGGGCCAGATCAGATGAGTAGGGAGGCCATTGGTGGCCTTGGGGAAAATGGTTTTAGTAGTGAAGGGAGGAGGGACAAAGTCAAGAAAGCAAACAAAATCTGTCTTTTTGACCTTGTGTTGAAATACAGATGCTCTTCAATTTCTGATGGGGTTCTATGTGGGCACCTACAAAAGCTTTGAGACCAAGTGTATTGTGGTCCATTATTTCACTTCCAAGAAACACCGTCAGCAACATCCTTTCTGATTGACCAGCGTAGGTTTCAACTTGATTCGCTTATCGGTGTTGCTGGGAGGGCTTTGTTTCTTTCCATCCGTGCGGATTTTACGTTTATTGATCTTTGTCTCAAAATTTTTGTCATGACCCATGTATCCCAATAAACACCTTAAGTCAAAAATTCCTTTAATGTACTTAACCTACTGAGCATCATAACTTAGCCTAGCCTACCTTAAACATACTTCGAACACTTCCAGTAGCTTGCAATTGGGGAGAATTATCTAACACAAAGTCTGTCTTATAGTGTTGAATATGTTATGTAATTGATCAAATACTGTACTGAAAGTGAAAAACAGAATGGTGATATGGGTGCTTGAAGTATGGTTTCTACTGAAGACATAATCACTTTCACACTGTGAGGTCAAGCCATCATAAGTCAAGGACTATCTATGTAACATAAATATAGGAAAGTACATGGATCATAAGTGAATTTTTATCCAAGAATAGAAAGGACTTTAAAAAAAATTAGTGGCTCAGCATCTGTAGCTCAAGTAGCTAAGGTGCCAGCCACATATACCAGAGCTGGCGGGTTAGAATCCAGCCCGGGCCTGCCAAACAACAGTGACAACTATAACCAAAAAATAACTGGACATTGTGGCGGGCGCCTGTAGTCCCAGCTACTTGGGAGGCTGAGGCAAGAGAATTGCTTAAGCCCAGGAGTTGGAGGTTGCTGTGAGCTGTGACGCCATGGCACTCTACCCAAGGTGACATCTTGGGGCTCTGTCTCAAAAAAAAAATTAGTGAAGTTTTACAAACTGAAAGTTTTATGGCACTCTAGATACTTTCCTCATGGCCCTTCTAATCACCTCTCAGCTTGCTAAGGGTATCCATTGTTCTGTCTTCTGGCCACAGTCTTTTTTTTTTTTTTTTTGAGCCAAAGTCTCTCTCTGTTGCCCTGGCTAGAGCGCAGTGGCATTAGCATAGCTCACTGCAATCTCAAACTTCTAGGCCTGAATGATCCTTCTGCCTCAGCCTCCCAAGTAATTAGGACTATAGACATATGCTATCACACCTGGCTAATTTTTTATTTTTTAGTAAAGACAGGGTCTTGCTCTTGCTCTGACTGATCTCAAACTCCTGACCTCAAGTGATCTTCCTACATCAGGCTCCCAGTTGCTAGGATTACAGGTGTGAGCCACCATGCCTAGGCTATTTTTAAAATACATTTGTCAGTAGAAGGAGGTAGAAGGATGATGTAGTAGTTAGAAAGGGAATTAGAGGTAGAGGGTATTCATTGTCTATTGTTTAAGACGTCAGAGATTTTCTTGAATGTGAATGAATCTCATAATTTCTCTGGTGGGTGGCCAGTCACGCCGTTTCTTTTTATGTTTTGGATGGTTTCCATTTCATTCAAGTGTTTTAAAAAGTAGCTGTGTTTGTTTATACAAACTTGAGTTAAATAACTATTCCCTTAGCATCTGCTTATGGAAAAGTGGTTTTCTAAACTTGGCTTATCATGGATGTAGATTCTTAGCCCCCTCTTAGAGTTACTGAGTTGGTCTCTCTGGGAGGGGGAGGTGTTGGAATCTATGCTTTTAAAAAATTCCTCAGCTGATTCTGAAAACTTTTTTTTACACAGGCCTGCAAAGGCCTTATATCAAAAAGGAAATAGTATATATTTTAAATGAAAGCTCTAAAAAGATAATAGTTCTATAATTATAGGAGAATAAAGGGTCACCCTTTTTTTTTTTTATTTTTTTGAGACAGAGTCTCACTATGTCACCCTTGGAGAGTACCCTGGAGTCACAGCTCACAGCAACCTCAAATTCTTGGGCTTAAGCAATTCTCTTGCCTCAGCCTCCCAAGTACCTGGGACTACAGGTGCCCGCCACAACACCCGGCTATTTTTTGTTGCAGTTGTCATTGTTGTTTAGCTGGCCCATGCCGGGTTCAAACCCACCACCCTCAGTGTATGTGGCTGGTGCCGTAACCACTGTGCCACAGATGCCAAGCCAAAGGGTCACCCTTAAATATGGGAGAGACCATACACTGGACTTTTTATAGAATTGAAAAAGAAAGCAAGTCATTAGGGATTTGAGCCCCACCCTTCATGAGCATCTTTGAATAATTCTGAGTTATAATTCTAAGTGTGTTATTTAGCTTGAGGTTTTCATTTGTCTTTAAAACAGTCTTACTGGAACAAAGTCACAGTGTGGTCCTGGAGCTACAGAATCCTGGGCAGTGTACTTTTATTTGCAAAGCAAGAGTGATTTAGTCTTCTGGGTATCCATTGTGATCCGAGTGTTTATGACCCCATCAGATTCTTGGTAAACTGTGTCTAAGAATCTACCCTTGCTGCTGGAGCTGAAGCTCAATTCTTATATCTGAGTCTTTTTTAGAATATGAATTTATTTTTTAAATTGTGGCCTGAATCTTTTTGAGTAACCTCATAAGCTTCCTGGAAGCTCTGTAAGGAAGGGCACAGACCCTGTCTGCTTAAATGTTGTATCCTGTTTAGCACCAGGCCTGACATGGAGTAGCTGTGCAATAAATATATATATATATTTTAATATGGAACACTTCACAAATTTGCATGTCATCCTTGCTCAGGGGCCATGCTAATCTTCTCTGTATTATTCCAATTTTAATATATATATGCTGCCAAAGTAAGCATGAATACATATATTTGAGGGGTTTTGTTGTTTTTTGAGACAGAGTCTCACTCTGCTGCCCTGGGGTTGAGGGCTATGGCATCATCATAACTCACAGCAACCTCAAACTCTCGGACTCAAGTGATGCCCTTGCCTCAGCTTCCTGAGTAGCTGGGACTACAGGTGCCTGCCACAATGCCTGGGTAGTTTTTTTTCTTATTTTTAGTGGAGACGGGGTCTCACTCTTGCTCAGGCTGGTCTTGAACTACTAAACTCAAGCAATCCACCCATCTCGGCCTTCCATAGTGCTAGGATTACAGATGTGAGCCACTGCGCCCAGCCACATGTCTCTGTTTTCGAAACAAAATTCTAGCTGACATCTTCTAATTGTTATATGTAACCTTTCTTTTCTGGCCAGATTGGTTTTGCCATCATCAGTTCAGTCCTTGGCAAGCCTTAGTGGAGAAGGAGTAAGAAGTAAATGCGTATCCTTAAAATAATGGTAGCCTACTCCTTTACCATACTTTTTGTTAGGATCCCTTCTAACTGAATACCAATCCTGGCGTTGCTCAGTTCTTATTGAAATTAAGTCCTCTGTGGGCTATGTAAAACAAAAGTTGAAAGACACAGGGGGTCCAAGGTCCAAGACAGAATATTCATTGATAGGGTGAGTATAAAATACCTTGCTGAGGAATAGATCAGACCAGAAAGAAGGTATAGCCCCATGAGCCAGAGGACTCAATGACCCTCCATCTGACAGTTTGCAAAGCTAAGGGTCACCAACTCACCTTTGCCTAAGCCAAAGTTTAGCTTTTCCCTCTCTGACTGTGGATTTCACAGCGATGTTAGAAACCTCAAACACGCCACAACATTGGGGTCCTTACTTAGAATCCCCCTCAACTAGCTGATTTTTAGGAGAGACATCTAGTATCTAAAGGCTATACTCCAAAGGGGCTGGATCTAAAGAAATGCGGCCTTTGGCTCTAGTCTATTGCTTAGAGTCATTGAAGGTGCAGCTCTTATAGACCTTGCTTGACTTTGATCTGACAAGCTAAACTCATCTAATCCAAAGTATAGCATATCTAATCAGTTCTCAGAAGGTACACATATAACCACTTTCTGAGCCAAGTCATCTGTCCTGACCAGGGAGTGAACTTAGCAAACAAGGCTCCTCAAGGACTGCCACTTGGGACAGGGAGTGCTCAGCCCTTGGGTACATGCAGTCTAGAGGTTCCAGCCCCTATGAGAAAAAATCCAGGGGAGATTTCACTTCTCGGGAGGCACATATAGTTTCCTTTTACCATAATGGCCATAATGGGTCAGGATTCCTCATGGAAAGAGAATACCTTTGTGTTTGTGTTTCATAAGAGAACCCAAGAGGAGTGCCAGTAGGAGCAAAGTTTAAACCCAGAGTTTTTTATGATTATGACCCAGATCCCATAAGTTGGTTGTCTGCAGAGGTGAAGTGAGGGGAGGAGGAATGGACTCAGTGTGAAGAGGCACAAGGGAGCTTACTGGAGTGAAAGAAATAATCTATATCTTGATTGGGTTTTGGTTATACAAAATGTATGCATGCGTCAAAACTTAAACTATTCGGGCAGTGCCTGTGGCTTAGTGGGTAGGGCGCCAGCCCCATATACCGATGGTGGCGGGTTCAAACCCTGTTCTGGACAAACTGAAAACAAAACAAAACAAAACCTCAAACTATACATATAAGATTATATAACTTAAAATCTATGCATTTCACTGCATGTAAATTATACTTCAAAAAAAGATCTGTGGCCTCTAGCACACCTAATCTGTGCCAAGTTCATGCCAAAATATAAGTGAGAAATTTAGGCACCACACTTTCAGATGAGTGGTTCATTCTTAAGGAGACAGAATATTGAAGAAGGTTCTTCTTTGCCTTTAGTTTGTGCCTTCATACTTTCTGCTAGTATCTCTGGCTACTTTAACAGACTTTTCCTTTTTAAATTCTGTTATCAAAGGAGTTGGCCTGAATATTCAACATGAGCACCAATGAAATATGGCAGGCATACAGCCACCTGTCCAGAACCCCCATTAGTGATAAAATCAGGTCTGGCCAGCTTCCTCTTAAGCAAAGGCTGTGAGTGTGCTGAGGTAGGGTGGGGTAGTCTCATACCAGGAGAAGTCCCTTTTGATGTCAGAAAGGAAGGTGAACCACCCAAGATGTTGAGTGGCTCAGTGTCAGCCTTGTCTGCCTGGGGACCCTTTACCAAACGTTTTCCTGCGAGTTTCTGTTGCACAGATCCATACTGCCTAGTTCCTTATCATGGTCAGGTGTGTGGCTGGCTCCTTCCTAGGAATGATCTTGGCCTAAATTTCTCACCTATATTTTGGCATGAACTGGGTACAGAATAGGTGTGCTAGAGGCCACAGATTTTTTTTTTTGAGGTATAATTTACCTCAAAAAATTTTACATGCAGTGAAATACATAGATTTTATGTATTTATATACAGTGAAATACATAGATTTTAAGTTATACAATGCATAATTTACATGTATAATTTAACTTAATTAACTTAAAATCTCCTTAATTTTAAAAATTATACATGCAGTGAAATACATAGATTTTAAGTTATTCAATCTTAGATGTATAGTTTGAGTTTTGACACATGCATACATTTTGTATAACCAATACCCAATCAAGATATAGATTTTTTTCTTTCACTCCAGTAAGCTCCCTTGTGCCTCTTCACAGTGAGTCCATTCCTCCTCCCCTCACTTAACCCCCGCAGACAAGTGACTGTTCTGTTCACTTTTTGAGATAGTCTCACTCTGTTGCCCAGTGATTTTCTTTAAGTCTGGACAGTGAGAGATGGCACAAAATAATGATATTTAAGTAAAACAATGATTCTCAATGGGACAGGTTGCTCCCTAGGAGACATTTGGTAGTGTCTTCAGACATTTTTGACCCCCTTGGCTGGGGTGCTACTGGTATCTAATGAGTAGAGGCTAGGGACATTGCTAAACCTCCTACAATGTACAGGATAGCCCCACAACAAAGGAGGAGCAAGGCCAGGCAAAGGGACTCACATCTATAATCCTAGTGCTCTGGGAGGCTGAGGCACCAGGATCCTTTGAGCTCAGGAGTTCAAGACCAGCCTGAGCAAGAGTGAGACCCCATCTCTACTAAAAATATAAAAATTAGATGGGCATTGTGGCAGGCACCTGTGATCTCAGCTACTCAGGAGGCTGAGGCAGGAGGATCACTTGAACCCAGAAGTCTGAGGTTGCCGTGAGCTATGATGGCAGGGTACTTTTTAACCAGGGTGACAGAGTGAGACTGTTTCAAAATAAAAGAAAGAAAGAAAGAAAGAAGGCCCTGGTCTAAATACTAAATATCCATAGTGCTGAGGTTGAGAAACCCTGAACTAAATCATGCAGTCTCTGCAGAGAAAGAATTGTTGCCCTGAGGAGTATTCATTTGTGGGTCTCCCAAGTCGAGAGCCTGCCAGAAGCTGAAAAGGACACTGCAGGAGCCACCTTCTCCAGGGCTACCACCCTGTGACTGAAGTTCTTTCTGTGGGATGGGATTCAGGGTGGGCTTGAGGAGAACTAATAAGAGACAAAGAGGAGGAAAACAGCTTAGGCAATAGAGGGGGGGAAGGCTCAAAATAATTATTATAGCTGGAAAAATTAGTAAGATAAGAGGAAAAAATTAAGTAGAAATTGATAAGAATCCAATAAAATGAAAGTAAACAAGTTGAGATTTAAAATCCAAGATGAAAGTGAGTGGGAATAGTCATTAAGAACATAAAAGTAGAAACAACATAAAAGTAGAAACAGGAATAAAAAGAAGGCCATGAGATAAAAAATAAAATCTGTGAAAAGTAGATAGGATTAATAATCGGAAGCAGGAATTGAGAATTTAAAAGGTCAACCTAAGACAATACAGTCTACTTCTGTAACCCTGGGTTCTACATCTAACCGAGGATCGGAAATATTCAGGAAAAAAATTCCACAAAGTTCCCAAAACAAAACTTGAAATTGCTGTGCTCCTGGTACTACAATGAATCCATGTAAGTGAAGTGGTGTGTGGCCATTGTGTTAGGTATTATTAGTAATCTAGGGACGATTTAAAACACACAGAGGATGTGTGTAGGGGTCCTCAAACTTTTAAACAGGGGCCAGTTCACTGTCCCTCAGACTGGAACGAGTCGGCTACTAAGCAGGACTGGCAGCAGCGGCAAAAACACTCAGCAGCCGGATAAATGTCCTAGGCGGGCTGCATGTGGCCCACAGGCTGTAGCTTGAGGACGCCTGGTAGATTGTATGCAAATACTATACCATCTTTTTTTTTTTTTTTTGAGAAAGAGTCTCACTTTATCACCCTCAATAGAGTGCCATGGCAGTGTCACACAGCACACAGCAACCTCCAACTCCTGGACTTAGGCGATTCTCTTGCCTTAGCCTCCCGTGTAGCTGGGCCTACAGGTGCCTGCCACAACACCCGGCTATTTTTTTGTTGCAGTTTGGCCGGGGCCGGGTTTAAACCTGCCACCGTCAGTATATGGGGCTGGTGCCCTACACCCTGAGCCACAGGTGTCGTCTGTACTATGCCATCTTATATAAGGGACTTGAGCATCCCTGGATTTTGGTGTCCACAGGGGTCCTGGATCCAATATACCAAGGATGCCAGTATATAAAGCAAGAATGAAGGGAAAACTATGAAACCAAATTGCTTAGAGGTTAGAGGAGAGATGAGAGCATGGGGAGTGGGCAGGGTGCCAGCTAGAGCAGATACGTGAGGAAAATTAGAAACAAAGTCCTGAGGTGGGGCCAGCATGCTTCAATAGAAAGTCACTAGTTTTAGCAGCATTGTCGTGGTCTCTCGGTCCTGGGCAGACACAGAAAGCAGAGAGTAATGCGTTAGTGCCTCCAGACACCTGCAGCTTATTCTTGTGTGGCTCAAACTTTAGATGGCTTGGCCTCTTGAAAAGAGCTGGTAATGTTCTTTGAACCCTCAGCCACTTAAAAAAAAAAAAGAGCTGATGACGGG